ACTAGAATAAATCAGCTACCATGCTAGATAAAGTAGTTTAGTCTTAACAAACAATTATGTAGCCATCATTGTCATAATGATGGTAGTCATTTTTATTCCTAGTTAGCTAACTAGCTAAGTTCAGGAGTAGGTGTGTCCAACCTTTTGACTCATAACCTCTTGTAAAAGCCCTGTGTTAGTCAGCTATAACGTAACAGCAGTGGCTTCATTTCCTTCCTCAATGCTGACTTCATTCCTCCTTTCATTTTTTATCCTTAACCTTTCCCTCTTTCTCTTTCTTATAACTTCTCCCTTCTTACACACCTGCCTACAAGGAGAGCTCCAATCATATTCTAACACACAATGGTCAAACACCAACCATCCTTCAGTGTATGCTAACTGTTCACTTTAGTTAGACTGGAACAACAAACAAACGGTTATGTAGCTAACACCACCTAGCTATGGGCTCCCAAGTGGGCTCCTCAGCATTGGCCGTATCATCAGGAGACGTTCTTGTGCGTTCTTCAGTGCGTTCAATCCAGGTGATGCTACAGCCATCCATGTCTAAAAGACCAAGAGAGCACAACTGGCCTCGCTCTCTCAGGACTGCACTTCCCAAAAGTTGAGCAGTAACCATGAAGAGTGTTCGAAATGACAGTCTCTCTATCATTTAAATATGTTCTGTTTAACAACACTTTTGGGAAATGCACCCCTGGGTGGGTAGTACGGCCCCTTTTTCTCCCCCATCACTCAGCGCAATGCTAGCCAGCAAATTAGCCTAACCCTTGGCTGCCAACATTGTTGCTATGTTGGAGGGTATGATGGGGGAATGTGAAGTGGAAGGGGGCTGTGGGGGCACTGAAATTCCGTCTCAAATATGCCAAACAAGTTATGTTAGTTGTTCTTGTTCAGCACTGTTGTGCTAATTTGTTGTTAGCTCTCCGATGAACTGGTTGAACAGTTTATGAGGGCAAAATACAATATAATTAGTTAACAGTAACCAGCAACTGGGCCTGGACTCTCTTTCATCACTGGCCCACCCATGATGCTCAAATGCTCAAATTTAATTTCAATATAAATTTTTTTAAGATATCAAAAAAATTTTAGTTTAACAAATATTAATACCTATGAGGAGAGTGCTAAGCGTTACTGCCTGAGCCCCCAACACAATTGCAAACACCCAGCTACAGTTTTCAGTGCTGAATCGAAAAGGCCAATATGTGAGGGTTGTCAGCCCTGGCTAAACCTTTCACTCAGCCTTTAACCTTTGTAGGGTGGCTAACAGCTAGTGAATAATAAGCAACATTAGCCATTGTAACCAAGCTGCTGGTGCTTTAGCATTTCTACACTCTGCTGTTCTCACTCTGAAGATGGCATGCACATTTTATGCATTTTGCCACTTCTTGCATAAGTAATATAATTTTTCTAGCATAATTTATCCCCCTACTCTTTCGGCTTTTTCAGAGGTGAACTTTTCTCCATGTTTTTCCTCATCAGTTTTCTTATTGTTTGGTAAGTTTGACTGGATTTTAGGGCTTATATTTGGATTGTAATCATCTCATTATGTTACGCCACGTCCTCTCTCTTTCTCTCTCTGTTTGTGGATCAACTGCATGCCCCACTGGGAATCCTCATTGTGCTCCCAACAGTGGTTCCATGCTTAGGACTGCTGTTAATTTGCACAAATGACACCTGCTGATCTGTTGCTATCAAACTTGCACACATTGCACAACATTACATTCCTGTCTCTTGTACTTCTGCACATTTTCACTGTATAGTGTGGATATATGTGTGTCTTTCTTTGTCAATGGCACAATAAAGGGGCCATGAACTTTAGTGCACAGCAAAACTCACTTCTCTGCGCACAAGATGATAACAAACTTGACTTGGCTTTGATAGCCAGTGAGAATCAGAGGCTGAACAGGTCGGTATTAAGGCTCAGGCCAGTAAAAGCAGAGAAATTTTCACCTCTTCTCTATAATAGGGAAGTGGAATTGCAGTAAATGCTGACAGCAGGGCTTTGTGTAAAATGGCAGAGCTGGCAGTCTGAGTTACCTTCTAGCTCTCAAACACTCTAATACTGACCATGTCATTTGGTTACAGGTTACAACAGGTCCTGCACAGGACACTGAGTTTAACCCTTAGAAAAGTTATTACTACTGCTCTACTATTTAAATCCACAATTAATTACATAGTTACATAATACATTTATTGACAGGCTCCCATTTGTTTAAAAATGTCAAAAATGTAGATTTTTCCTTTACACAAATCAAAACAGACCACATAACAATAAGTTGTCATTAAATTCATTAATTAGGCAAATTGAATTTTACTAGCCAGCAGTATCATGGGTACCCATGTAGTCTTGATACATAAGATGTTGCAGCCAACAAAGGATAATCAATAAAGGGAAGTGTGATCAATCTCAAAAGTCGACCAGGACTAAGTCGCAAAGTGCTTATTCAAAAGGACAAGCCGGACAAACCAACTATTGCACTTCGGATTGGAATGTTTGAAAACTACTAATTGTTTTTTTATCTTAAGAGTAGCTGATAATGGCTCCTTATAAAGTTAGTGGCTTTCTAACTCAAAGTAAGCTAATACTGTCAACTAAATAACTGGAACATTGTTACAGATGGTGAATGTGGTGCTACTGATAGGAACTTAGGTAGCTAAGACATATAATTAATGTTTGTTGAATATCATACCATGTATTACAAAAGATGTTTGATTAATGGCCTTTATGCCTGATCAGGTGACCTTTATGTTCCCACAAAAACCGATGATATAAAGGACCTAATGGCTTTGCTCTGTAAATGACGCCATTTAGAGCCTAGATTCCTGAATTTTGTAAGATTCTATGGATGTCGTTAACCCAGCCCACTCCCATTTTTTTTTTAAAAAAGAGATTACAGTTCTGTAGCCAAAATAAACATGAAAACATATTACGATCACATATTTCAGCTCAGAACGATGTCTCTGTGTGTTAGGGATCACAAAACTAAGAGCAACAGCATGTGTGTAAATGTTTTGTGTCATTAAAAAATACTGAAGATAAAACAAAGGAAAAAATACAGCTCCCATCACCCTCACCTCTCAAAGTCCTGGTTTAACAGCATATTGCAGTTATTTTCCACATGTTTACAGGAATAAGAGGACTCTGCACAGGTACCATAAATTAAGCTTATACAAGAAACGTCCAAGCTAAAAAAAAATGTAGGAACCATTTTTAACAGTGTATCTGCAACTCCACGGCTGCTCTTCACTTTTTTATGGCATTTCCATGGCAGCAAACTTGGTTCATGTAAAGAGGATGTTAGTAAACAAGGGTTTTCCTTTGTTAACATCAACAGGAAATTACATCACACTTTTTGAGCCAGTGTGAAATCCCCCCTTGATGATGCAAACTGGAGAAAAAGTAGGAGTATTTCTGAAAGCTGTAGTCTCACTGCTTGTAAACACTCTGAAGATGGTGGACCTGCCAGTCTTGGCACTTGGAGCTTCTCTTTCTCCTGCAGGTTAAACCTGAGTAGATGTTTCAGGAGATTTCTTTCAGCTGCTTTACTGATGGATGTGCCTGAGCATGTTCCTCCACACACGCACTCTTAGTCACATTCAGGCATGTGACTAGCAAACTCTGAGCAGGAATGACAGAGTGTCACGCAAACACACGCACATGCCACATCCTGCACGCATATACTGATAGAGCACAGCATTAATCACACTGTCCAACTTGTTTAGCTGAGTCACAAAAAAGCACCGCCATCTAACCCTGAGCACTACTGTTTAACCAGACGTTCAAACAGACCCCACCTGAATTGGGCAATCAGCACTGTACCACTCGAACATATTAGAGCCACAGTTCACAAAATCACCCCCTCCTTGCCCCAAAGTAGCCCATCAGACAAGATGATTGGTGTCTAAAGTTTGCTTCTTTAGGGTTAGCAATAGAACCACAAGGCTAATCTTGCTAACAAGTGTATGTACATCAATGGTGCTAAATGCATGTCTAAAACATCACACACTTGCCTCAAACATCAAACTATCATGAGAATCATGAGCAGCATCATGAGAGAAGTGAGGAGCATCATAACACAAAAGAGGGAATAGTGAGGAGCATAAGGAGAGAAGTGAAGAGCTTCATGAGAAAAGTGAGGAGCATAATGAGAAAAGTGAGCATCATGGGAGAACTGAAGACCATCAAAGGTGAAATGAGATGCACTATGGGAAAAATTAAAAGCATCATGGGAGAATATCTCATTATGCACTACTGCGTATCCAGGTACAGCCTGGACTTAGCTACAATTAGCTACAAAATCTGAAGGCAACAATGTTTGCAAACAAAACAAACAAAAAAAAAAACAATAAAGGTGACGCTTCTCTCTGAATTCTGATTACTGAGAGTATGTGCTTGACTACATGCAGGAGTTGATCAGATGCTCTGCTGAAAGTGATTAGGTATTACTACAGCACGGCCGGTATGAACATCACTGCAGAACACTCGGCTGGACACTCGGGCTACAACTAAAAACTTTTTCTATAATTGTTTAATCTATCGACTCTCTCTCTGTGCTGCCATGATCCTTCGAAGTTCTGTCTATACACAAATTTCTTACAGAGCTGTTTCTAAATGAAGCCATATGACCCCCTACACTTCCTGTAGTGTATTGCAGTTTGTCAGAATGGATGCGTGGATCAAATGAAAATTACAGAGCATTCTAGAATTCTTTTAAAAGTAAACAATAGAAGCCATGTCGTCCCCTGCACTTCATATGCTGTATTTCAATCTGTCAGAATGACCGTGTGGATCCAAGAAACATTACAGAGCACTATAATTAATTTTGTCATCTATTAATTAACAAAGTAATTTCCACCCTACTGCATATGAGAAAAAAGAGGGATGTCATATGAATCCAATGTAATACATATGACATCATGTTAGAAACCTTTAAAACAAGACGTCTGGATATACAAACAGCATCAAGGTTAGTAATACTAGGAAACCATAATATCCGTCTTACCTGTGTTTCTCCAGCTCATTGTGTGACGATCTGGAAAGGCAAGTAAACACAGACATGGATGAGTATAGCGGAAAACAGCAAAAATCACTAAATTACTCTAACCAAACAACTTCTACACTCTTCTGTGACTTTACATTTTATTGTTAAACTTGAACCTGAATGTGGTAAAATATTAACTATTTTTTGTTCTGGCTTCAGAGTTTTCATCATTTGAATGACATAAGCATGTCATTCTGCGTGCATGTGTGCACATGAGCTACAGCCCAAGAAGGAGGCTGCATGTTTTATCTACACCACACACACACACACACACTCTTGTCTGCTCACACACACATTCGTCTGCTAACACCATACACCAGTTCTCAATCCCAATCCTGGCAACCCCACGCTCTGAAAATTTGTTTTCTCTACTATATACACCTGACCTAGACCACGAGGAGCTTGTTAATTAATTGAATCAGGTGAGCTAGATTAGATGTGCATAGCGTGGGGTCACCAGGACTGTGATGAGGAACCCCTGGTATACACACACAGGTCTGGATGAGCTGTAATGCGCTGTAATGACACACAGAGTCGTGCAATAAGCTGATGGAGGTAGTATGTACATGTGCAAAATACATAAAAGGACAGGCACAGATAATTTTTATATAGAGATAACTTGAATTAATTTTGTTCTCTTAAAGGTGAGTAATGCAAATATAATAATTTAAACTGTGAAGCATTAGAACACTTTCTTACAGGACAAGGTGATGACATTTCTGTAACTCGTTACTTTGTACCACATAACCCCCAACAATGACAGCAAGTAATGGAAGTTAATACACCACCAATTAGCATGGTGCTAACTGCATGTCTAAACCATTACACACTTGTTTCAAACTATGTCAAAGTTAAGTAATTTCAAACAGACTTTCTGACATTGTATGACATACTGTTCTCTACAAACATGGATTAAAGTATTTTTGTCCATATTTAATTGGTCAATGGTAGCAGGTGCAGTATATACTACTACATTAGCCTCACAGCTCCAATGCTAAAACTAAAGAGGCAAACATCACACACCATACCTCTTGGTTGATCAAGTATATCTGGATTAAAAAAAGGAAACTCGGCAACTTTGGCCCACAGGTGAAAAAACCTCAACTTTCTCTTACACAAACACACAGTTGTTTCAGGAGGTGTCCTGTTTTGGCGGTTGAGAAGAGTAAGAAATTAAGAGAAAAAACAACCCTTTCCCTAAAGCCCTTCCCCCCCACCTTACACGCTCTTCATCTGTTTCTGCTCTCAGCACTACATCATGCTAAAAAAATCTTTTTTGTGTGCGACATCTGCTTTTTGATGGAGGACAGAGTGCACCCAGGGACAAACACCGAACACCGTCTTCATCCACCTCTACTTAGTGAATATAAAATTACAAGTCAAGAACCAACAGCAACACACACACATTTCGGCATGCTGCAACACATGCAGCTATTTCAGGCCTTGAGTGTGTATAGGTCGGGCAAAATTACATCCGTCTCAAAACAAACAACCTGTTCACAAAACACTGGGAAACACTGGGGGATTCTACGCAAAAAATATCCAAATATAAATAAACACAAATACACTGGCATGTTAATTTCGAACTCCTGTGTTACACTGTTGACGTCTCTCACTTGTACTCTTCTCACGGTGTATAAGCATATTTTCGCGAGGTTTAGCCCTTGTGGGGTTGGGCGTTTGTGAGATTGGGTGTTCGCAAGGTTGGGCATGTGTGAGGTTGGCTGTTTGTGAGGCTGAGCATGTGCAACATAGGGCATTTGTGAGGTTGGGAATTTGTGAGATGGGGCGTTTGCTGGGTTAGGCCAGGTGTTTTTGAGTCTGCACATCTTTAAGTCCAGGCCAGTGTTCACAGTGCTGCAGCAACAGACTGAGATCCAGGGATCTCTGCAGGGCAGAAGCAGCTTCTATTCAAACTTGTGCAAATTAGGGACAGCAGGAGGAAACTTGACAGAAGCCATCTAGCCATGACATCATGACATTACCTAAGTGTATGTAATCAGACATATGGATCAGACATTTGGAACTGGTTTGAAATTGGTTAACTCTTCCAACTATGGGCTTATTATTAAGTTAATAATACTAATCTTAATATTTATTATTCAGTAACTACTATTAACCTAATGCATAAGTTCAGTAGTTATGAGAGTGAAGAATTGAAGCAGGGACCCACATACAGACCCATACAGTTGAATGAGTAAAGCTTTAGCATGTGGCCACTACGGTGTACACAAAGCTCTACACTCATCCACATATGCCCTGAAAAAATATTACATCTTAATGGGTTGTAAAGGTGAAAAAGCGAGCTGCAATTGTTGCTGTAAATTTAACTGTGTTACTGCTTTTCTTTTAGCTTAAGTAGTGAAACAGACCGTGGTAAATGAGACTGAACTTGCATGCCCTTTATGACCTAAAAACTCGTTCACTGAGCAGTTTAGAGAATTTGGTTAATTTTTCATTGTACAGCAGGCCATTTACTTATACTGACAAAGGTCTCCAGAAAGAAAATGCCCTTTTGCTCTAAATAAACACAGCCTGCATGCTTTCTGCAGCTCCGGGCCTTGCCAGAGCCAAGAGGAAAAAGTATCTGTGTCGGTGCTTTGGCACTGAGAAAAATTTTACAGTCCCCATGGTATGTTTTCTTGACTGTTTCCTCAAGTTCTAGTGATTTGTGTGCTGAGAGTGGGGGAGGGGAGAAAATACAGGCAGATCCGTTCTGGAAACCAAAGCTAGGCCAGACTTTTTAGGCTGGATTTAGGCTTCAGGATTTAATTAACTAGACAAAGTAGGTGCATTTCAGTGCTGAATATGAAAGCCCAAAGTCTGGTGAAGTTCTTGGGCAAGTTTTGGGGGAGCAGGGTTGACCTGCTTTAAGCACCACGCCCACCTGTGACTGTACTGCATGAAAACATTCATAACACACTGAGAAGGCGGTTATTGATCAGGTTTAAAATTATATAAAGTATAAAATATTTTCATTTAACAAAAAACATGTATAATGTTTACAATAAAGTAATGTTTTGGACTTTGATTACTTAAAAGTTTCAAGTTTGGTTCTATTTTTTGCATCTGTTAGAAGTATTCCTTGCAGCAAAGAAGAGTCAAGTGAATGTTTTCAGAACTAGAGGCCCAAACAGCTCAAAGCCCACTCTAACAAGGCCAGACAGGGACAAAACAAGGCTAAAAAAGGGCCAGAACTGCTGAAGACCCTAACCTGGGTATAGAGCGTTTATGTGTGTGAAATGTGTGAGAGATGTAAAGACAGATTTGTACTGTTTGAAATGAGCGACTTTAGTGCAGCAGGCTGAGGGTTAGTTAGACAGTGAGTGAAAGAGAAAGTGGAGCAGCTGTACGCGTGGCACTGTTTACAGAGGAGCATGGCGAAAGGAAAAAAGGAGCAACTTCATATTTACCACGATATTAACCAGAATATTTACCTATTGCTCTGGGCTTTCCTTGAAATTGGCGTCGCTTTCGTCTTCTTTCTGGAAAAGTCGCTATTGTACGGTAAAACAGAAGCGTAACCGTGTTCTGCCTCTATTGACAAAGTACACAAAATAAACGTTAACAGTTAGCTAAATAAGTGCTACTGAGCTCGTGAAAATGAATGCTGAGCAGAATTAAAGCAGAAAATTAACGTTATACTTTCACGCAGCATTTAGGAAAGCATGTGATTCACAGCCCATCAGCAAAAACTACGAGGACTGGCTGACTGCTGTTTCCATTTGATGACAAATAAGCATTAGCATTAGTTTTTTATTTTTGTTTTTTTTGGGGGTTTTTTTTGTAATCCACACTACGTTTATCTGTTTCATGCTGTGTGAGCGGCATGTCAGCTACATTTATGAACCTTTTTCGTGGATTTGGCTTAAAGCAGCCGGTTCAATACAGTAATGTCCAGCTCTAGCTACAGTGGCACCATACCTGCACAGTTCAACAGCAATAAATCGATGGGCACTTTCCTTTAACTAACACAGGTTAACAGAATTTTATTCCCAACAAGCACCATTTTATCACGAAGACTAAATACCTCTGTCTCTTCTTTCCAAGTACTCTGCAGCCTCAAGGAGGATTAGAAGAGAATTAAGTTCCATCCCGGCGAATTTGTACAAAAATACGAAATAAAAAATATATATTTACAAAATAATACAGTTCCTGAAAAAAATCAGACTGAAAAATAAAACAAAAAAACTAAAGTTGGTAACGCCCGATTTGGCCAGCAAGGTTCACAACTGAGTCTCAGAGACTCGCAGACAAATTCACATCAACTGCACCTAAACTAAACCCTCCCGGGCTGACTGGCGGCTCAACGTACCAATGGTGGAGCAGAACAACGCGAAAGGTGGGGCTTAGGAAAGCGTTTTGTCCAATCAGGAGTGTCTGTGAATAGAATTCAGGCTCTAGCTGTTGATCCGCAGCGAAACGGGGTGTGATTGGCCGGCCGGTGATAGTAACAAGCTGAAAGCTCTGCCCTAGCAACAGCGCGACGGACTCCGCCCCTCGTCTCCTATTGGCCGAACAGGCACCGTGCTGGCTAATGATTGGTAGACGTATACGGAGGGCGCGTCTCTTTAACTTCCTTTCGAACGTGAGCCACGTTGCCAGGGCAACAGCGCGGTTCGTGGAAGTAGTCACGTTTATGTTTGTTAGCTAATAGCATCATTTACTATTCACTGTTTATTATGCACGATTGATATCACTTTCATTTTTTGTTAGGTAAAACATTGTTCCCTATTTATGATTTTTAACTGTAACTGTAATCTGAAGAAATAATGCACTGTTCCCTGTTTATTATTTATTAAGTCTTACAGTAAACAAGTCATATGATTCACAATTCAATTCAAATCACATGTATGAAACTAATGAATCACATATGTCTGTAGCTATACAAGAAAATGGAAGCCTTTTCCTAAAATATTGGCCTGAAACTGGGCTTCTAAAACCAATAATCTAAAACACTTTCTAACACTTGTACTCATTTCTTAAAGGATATATATATATATATATATATATATATATATATACATATATATATATATATATATGATGTTTGTATGTGTGTGTGTGTGTGTATGTGTGTGTATGCGTGTGTGTGTATATGATTTTTACCATGGTAATTGTTTGGTTTGTGCGCAAATTGCAAATTACAGATTAATGAAACAACATAGTAATGTAATAGTATTCTACAACATAGATGGAGCAACCCTTGTCAAAATGTGTGAAAGTAAGGCCTGAGGAAATGCCATTCTGTAGGGGTGGGGGGTGAGTGTTGTTCTTCTGTGGAGACTATAACCTCTAACCGTTCAGCTTTTCTTAGTTTAATGGGGATTTAATAGGAGTATACATGGCAACCGGAGTGTTGTAGGAGAAGGCTGGGCCTTGACTTGCAAGAGGAAGAGCATACTGAGACTCATGCATGCCATTAACTTCCTTTTCCCACAATGCATTCATAGAGTTCTGAGCTATTTAAAAATATGCAGTTATAATAGTTTTCCGCAGAAACGATCCATCAGGGAACATAAATATAAATCTGCAACAATGCTAAGTGTCTCCAGCTCTATGACCCTTATTCCTATCAACTATGCCAATACATTTTCATAGCTATCAGTAAATGGCGTCATTAAAGGGGAAGTGGCTGGCAAGGTTGGTCGGTAGGTGCTAAAGTACATCTGCATAACAGTGCAGTGCACAGCAGTGTATTTCTGTTTCACTTCTTTGAAAGCTTTTCTCTTGCACAGCCCTGTAAAACCCACACTGATATAAAACCCGTACTGATGGCTAAGCACTTCTTCTCATGACTGCTTCATGGTACACAGTCATGTGGCCACACAAACCATGCTTACTAAAATGTGACTTAGGTGTTTGAAGCCTCCTGAGCTTATGTGTGTGTGGTTGGGGTCAGTCTGGGCCTGCTATAGAACAGGAAAATGAAACATTTCAGCCAGTTTCATCGCTAGGTTTACTTCAGGTTTTACTTGGTTTTCAGGAAAAGGCTGGTTTATCATTCAGAAATCATGATGTGTATTTTTTGTCACTCAATTGTTTTGAACATTTAGCACATGCCTTACACTACAGAAAATAACATCTCTTCTAGTGAAATCAGTTTAAATCTATATAAATATATCTTCATGAGACTACTCTAAAGAGGTATTTCACAGATTGTTTCTGCATAATTACCTGGTTGAGATGTTAAAAAAGTCCCTCAGAGTGGTTTGGTGTGAAATGCTCCATTGTAGAGACACTTACCAAGTCAGAATTTTTAACTGTATGGTGATAGGATCCAGATGTCTGGAATGACTTTGTTTACATCTCAACAATTGAATTACGCAGAACATTTGAAAAATCAGTGGAATTCCCTAGTAATAGAATGTCATAAGATTATTCACTCTATTTCTAGACATTTCTACTTTTTTAAAGAAACTTCATGTAGTGAAATTACATCACTGCACTGGTAGTTAGTTTGACTTATTTCAGGACTGTTGAACTGTGCAGGTATGGTGCCACTTTAGGAACTGGACATTATTGCACTGAACCGGCTGCTTTAAGGCAGACTTAAAACAAAGGAAATGATCTACCAATGGAATAAATCAATTTTACTAAATTGATTTATGAAAATTTTTTACTAAAAAGAGAAAAAATGTCTATGTATGGTGAATAATCTTATATTGTAAGTAATAGCTTAAATATAATAAAACATTATATATTGACTACGTTTAAGATGGTTTCACTTGTACAGACATTCATTTTTTGCAGTGTGAGACTCTTCAAAGTAATATAGTGTTTACTAATAATTTTATCATGCATCTTCATAGTCATCCATCACAACTTGGTTCATTTAGTTTAAACCTCAAGAGTTTGGTTATTATTCTCTTTTTTATACATTGAACAATTTATATATAATTATAATGATGTAATTAGTTAAATAAGTAATTATGCAATTAGTCATGTAATGAACTACACATATGATACGTCTGATTTCCCTTCGGTGTGGAAAAAAATACAAAAACAGCACATCCTCTTCATGGACCAAACTTTCTTTCTGCATGTTTTAGTATACAGTTTCTATTTATTTGCTAAGTTTTGGGGAAAAAAGATTCCAGCAAATAATCAGTCATTTTTAATTAAAATGTGCAAAAGTGTGTTCTCTGTAGAGGATGTATGCTTATTTTCATTCAGAAAATCAACAAAACATCTAGTTTTGCATACTACTGCACACCATAAGGAGAAGTAGGAGGGTAGTGACAGGTTGACTGGCGTACAAGTGTAATATGTGTGTAATATTTATATTACTGGGAACTCCAGAAAGCTTATGCTAAACCTATTGGAAACTGCTCTTGCTGCTTCCTCTCTGAATCGGTGCATCTATTATAGTATTAATGTTTGCAGCAGGGCATGATGAGGTCATATAAAAACACAGAGGGATTTAGCTCCATGCTGAGGCCTTGCTGATTGTATGTATTTTATTTTGAAGAGCCAAGTTTTAGTGCAGATTAATGCTGTAAAGATCAAAGTGCATGTAGAAATAACAAAATGAATCACCTCAGTGAAACTGAGAGCAACTAGGATGGAAAAAGCTTGTGGCTGGCTGTGATGTGACTGGCAGTGTGTGTGTGTGTGTCTTTGTTCCACTGTTTTTCTCTCATAGCAGCCAGTTCTCGGCTCAATAAATTATTAATTATTTTCCCACAGTTATGTTTGTTTGTGAGTTCTTTAACTGGATGAATAACACACTCCCCAGGTGTCAAAGAAACATCAGAGACTTTATAACGCATTCATGTCCATATCTGAATTAGTTTTTGGTCAAAAGGTTCTCTGTGTTCTGAAAGTCTTCAAACTGATTAAACCAAATAACTAAAAGGTGAGTTTTTATCTCTTAAGTTTTCATTATATTCAGTCTTTTGGAATTGTTATTTAACAAAATAATATAAAATTCATATTTAATTGTGAATAAAAATATGAAAATTACATGTAATCTAATGATTCAAATGTGTACTGTTAGATGTTTGTCTGAGGCAGGGGTGTCCAAACTTATCTGCAAAGGACCAGTGTGACAGCAGTAATTCATTCCAGAAATGCAGGAGCCCACCAGCTGATCAGTTGTTTGAAGACAGATAATTTGATTAAATAAGTGGAATCATTTTTGCTTCTGCTTGTTTAGAATGAAAGCCCTTATCTAAGGTATATCATCATTTTAGATGTAAAAAACCTTTTGCCTTGGGGGCAAAGTGTAATGTTTGTATTGGCCAAAAAGACACAACAGCTAGCTAGCTTGTCAGCCTTACATTTACATATGTGGAAAAATTTGGAGCATGTATGCTTTTATGTCAGCATGGAGCTTCTTTTATGTAATGATAGAAAACCTCCAATTTCACATGCTGATTCATTTTACTAGGCCATTGTAGATATATATGCACACCAACTTCTGCAGATTTAAAATTTTAAAAGAGAACATGTCTAAACTCTGAATGTATCACCGGCGAAACAGTTGGTTTGATATAAATAACACTGATTCCTTACATAAGAAGCATACTGGTTTGTCTTGAAATTTCCTGAAAATACAGTACATGGTATAAATAAGTATTTTACCCACACCTATTGCTAACAGGTGTATGAAAGCAAGTACGTAACCATGCAATTTTCTTAGACATACAATGGCAGTAGAATGAATCATACTGAAGAGCTCAGAGACTTTACATTTCATGGGATGTCACCTTTCCTGCCCTGCTGGAACTGCCCCAGTCAACCGTAAGTGCTATTATTGTGAAACAGAAATATCAGGGAGCAACAACAGTTCAACAGTGAAGCAGTAGACCAAGCAAAATCACAAAGCAGGACATTGTGGCAACAGTTTGGGGAAGGTCCTTTCCTGTTCTAGTATGACTGTGCTCCAGTGCTCAAAGTGAGCTCTATAAAGACATGGTTTGACAAGTTTGGTGTGGAGGAACTCCAGTGGCTGGCACAGAGCCCTGACCTTAACCCTACTGAATACCTTTGGGATAAACTGGAACGTTGATTGTGAGTCAGGCCTTTTCGTCTAACATCAGTGCCTGACCTCACAAATGCTCTTTTGACTCAATGGGAATGACTGAATGAAGTTCCCTCAGATACACTGCAAAATCATTTTGTAAAAGCCTTCCCAGAGGAGTTGGAGACTGTTATAACTACAAAAGGAGGGCCAACTCCATACTAATTCCCATTGGCTGTCCAACAAGCTTATGTAGGTGACCAGGCATCTAAATACTTTTGACTATATAGTGTACATTTTTTGCTACAGA